CCCCCGCCGGCCGCGAAAGGGTGCGGGAGACGCGGAGCAGGAGGAGGAGGCGCAGCCGCTGCCCGAGCCGCAGCCGCAGCCGGAGCCCGAGCCGCGGGGCGGGCGCGAAGATGCACACGACCCAGAAGGACACCACGTACACCAAGATTTTCGTCGGGGGGCTACCCTACCACACCACCGATGCCAGCCTGCGCAAGTACTTCGAGGTCTTCGGCGAGATCGAGGAGGCAGTGGTCATTACAGACCGGCAGACGGGCAAGTCCCGGGGCTATGGATTTGTAAGTTACGCGGAGTGGGGTGGGGTGGGGTGGGGGTGGGCGACAAAGATTCCGGCAGGGAGATGGCGCGGGAACCGGTAGAGAAGGAGTGACTCGTGGCCCCAAGGATCGGAGTTAAGAGTGAGGGGCCCTGGCGTGACTGTGGGAGGAACCTGCGGGCTTGAGCGCTCTTCCCCGCGCCGGGCTGAACTGAAACTTTGCGCGCCGCGGAGCTGGGAGAGAGAGGGCCGACGTTCTTGCCTTTTAGGGTTCCGAGAGGACACCGGGAGGCTGGGGGAATGTGGTGTAGGGGGAAGGGCGCAGCCGGGGTGAAAGGATAGGAAGATGAGGACCCTTGGATTTTGGGGTACCGAGGGTTGGGAGGGAGGGACTGCAGCCCTGCAGAATGGCAATCCGCGCTTGGAGGCCGGTGGTTAAGCGCGCTGTTGCTTTGTAAAAATGCGTGTGCTTTCTGGCGTCCGACTGAGGCAGAGAGAAAACATCGCCACCTCCCCCCTTCTTTTAAAATTGCAAAGGTAGGCTCTTTAAAATATGATCCTGTGGGTTTTCGCCGAACTGAAACAGCGTATTAAACTTCCTGGAGATTTAAGTTCGGAAATTCAGCTGCTCAAGAGTAGCGAGCCTCAGAGTAGGACAATAGCCATTGTCGCTGGGGATGTGTTTGCGGGTGGCTGGGCGCACCGGGAGGATGTGAGGCCGGACCTACTTTAAAGCACACAGTAGTGGCTTTCGGGCACAAAGGGGGTACTGGGAATACGGAGGATTTACAGGCATTCTAAATCTGAATTCAGGTTTACAAATGGCAACTAGGCCCTACTGGCACCCTTAAGACTTAGGGATGGGATGTTATTATTATTTTGGAGGGGCAATCAAGGAGTAAGGGCCAGCAAAAAAGAAAACAAGAAAAAGTTTGAGAAACCCTCAGTTTTACCATGAATAACTTCTCTAGTGTGAGTCTTGTTCTTTCCTTCAGGGGTTAATTTAGAGCTTTGTATGTGTGTTTGTGTGTGTATATGTTGCTAAGGTCACCATGGCTGACCGAGCTGCTGCTGAAAGGGCCTGCAAGGATCCCAACCCCATCATTGATGGCAGAAAGGCCAACGTGAATCTGGCATACTTGGGAGCAAAACCTAGGATCATGCAGCCAGGTGAGAAATGTCCTTCAACCCCCCCCCCCATCAGAGCTCCCCTGTTTCTGAATAGTATGAATCCCTGATTTACAAGACATTGTCTCCCTTAGGCTCTGTAAATGTGTTTAGTAAACTTGAACCATAGTTAGTTATCCTACCGAGGTATTAAAAATGAATGAGAGTTGGAAACATTCCTTTCAGGACCTGAAATGTACCTGTATAGGCAAGGATCTTGTGGGCAAAAATAGATCTTGGGGATCTGGACAGTTTGGACACACCCAGATTTACCCTTGACTCATCTGTTTCCTACATGACATATAGTTGTAGTCTCCCCTCTATTTTCCAACTCTTAGCCACTTGTAAATAATTCATATATGGATTATGTGGGCCACAGTTACTCCAGCTAGTTAAACTTCCCAGCATAGTTTTGTGTCTCCTTTTACAGTTGCCATGTGCTCAGAGCAGGTAATCTAAGGGAAGTATGGGGATGGGGGCAGTGCCAGGATAGTAAAACTTGGATGTAAATCACAAGACACTAGCAATGAAAGAAAGTAGAGATTTCCCCTAGTCAAGGGCCCTCATGTTATGGATGAAGCAGCTGACACTTAGAAATGAGAAATCATTTACTCCAAAATTACATGGCAATTAGTCCCCATCGGTTTGTGTATGTGAAAATATGACCTTTTAGATGATTTACAACACTGTCGTTTACTTTAGTACAAATATTGGAAGTGGACTTTTGAGAAAGTATAATCTTTTTTTTTGGATAAGCAACTTTGCTTGATTAAATCTTCTACTCTTTTAAGTCTTTCCATCTGAAGTTTTAGAAAGAGGTTGACACTTCCATCCAAGCTAATGTAAAAGGAAACTAGGTTTTTGAGAAAGTGAATGCATATGCAAAATATTCAAGGGCATTAAATAATATATAAGGAATCCCCCCTGGGTGGCACAAATGGTTAAGTGCTTGACTACTAGCCGAAAGGTTGATGGTTCGAACACACCCAGAGGTACCTCAGAAGACAGGCCTGGGGGTTCTGCTTCCAAAAGGCCACACCCTTGAAAACCCTATAGAACAGTTCTACCTTGCACACATGGGGTCTCCACAAGTAAGAATCAACTTGATAGCAGCTAACAACAGCAGATAATGTATATGTATTTTTTTACTCTGTGTCTATATTATCCAGACAAGAAGGAAAGAAGAATTTATTTTGACGAATTTTGAATATTATAAGCTACAGAAACCAGTTCTTTCAGAGCATTGCAAAATCAGTGTTCCAAATTTCAAAGGCTTTTTATAGCTTGTGATTTAGGGTTTGAGGAATATTTATGATATGTTACTTCATTGTCAAGTCCTATTGTTCTTGTTTTCATTTCACAAGAATTGTCCCTGGTCTGATTTTCTAAGGCCCTGTTCTATGTTTGTCAAATAAACTTTTTAGGTATTTTTTTAAAGTTTCCACTTTAGCCTATTAAAGTCTTAATTTGAGATCAACAGTAGTATTTTTAAAACTGACTTTAAAAATTCTACATATAGGTAATATTTCTTGTAAAACATTAAAAGAATAGTTATCTCTTCTAGGTGAAGGTTGTGATTGCATTGTGTATGTTATAGTAATGTGACCTTGCACAAATAGAGAATGTGGTGTGCTTTGTTGTTAGGTTTTGCCTTTGGTGTTCAACAACTTCATCCTGCCCTTATACAAAGACCTTTTGGGTAAGTCAATTGAACTGGCCCTCCTAACGTTTCAATATAGCTATCATTTGTTAACCTCCCTCTTTGTTATATACACACAACACATCATGTTACAGAATTTTCCTGGTTATACATATTTATATGTGCTTGTGTATTTTTAATGCGGATACAAATATTTGTAGATGAGTCAAGTTATCTGACCCAGTATGCAGCCTCCAAACCAGACACATTTTGAGCTTATGATTAACAAAACAAAACAAAACAAAAATACCAGGTATGACTTGTGTACAAGGTGATTGTGCCCCCCTCACCATTACTACTGTTCAACTTGACTCAACTGTATTTATTTCTTTCTAACCTGACAGGGCTCGTATACAGTTAAGCTAACTGATCAGAAGGATACGATGATAAGAGGTGGAATAGTTCTGTTTGGAATTAAACTCTGTAACCAGTAGACTCAGACACACAAGCTCAGATGGTGATTAACGATGCATGGATGTTGGTGTTGTTTTTTTATTTTTCACAATAGTCAATAGACCTCCGTGTGCTTTATTTTATTTATTACCGTAATGAAGTGGTGTTGATAGCTAAACTGTGTGCTTTTTACTTAATTGAAAAGAGCTGTAGTGAAAGTGTTTTCTTTTCCTCGGGGAAGGGGCTCTTTGTGTTTTTGGTTTTGGTGGTGGTGTTCAGGAGTGTTG